TCGTGAATAAACTACATTCTTTATCCCTCTCGATTTTATAAATTGTGTTTCATCCTTTTTATATACCGGTGACATCATTTCAAAGGTTTATTAAGCGGAACCAAATATACTCCACACATTTTCTAGATCTATCCTTCACTTGAGACAGTGAGTAAATATTTGATCTTAAGTAAGAGCTCTTTTAAAATGTGGGATGGGTGTTGGTCCCTTCCCTCCCCACCCGGATCAAAATGGGGGGGGGGGGTCAAAGTTAGTGTTCTTTTTCCAGAACATTAAAAGGAACCTAATAGTTTCCGTATTTATGTATATAAAGTAGTAATCCCTAGTCCGAATTTAATGAATTTGAGCCGCGTCTTAAATCCGCCAAAAACCGGTTTCAATGAAGCGCCGGCTTAAATCTGGAAATATTGAATAAAAATTTAAGAGGAACCAACCATATTTGAGCCGCGTCCTAAATTTATGCCCATGCTCATAACCCTGAAGAGAAGAAGGAGATAAGCGTAAATAAGAACCTCTGTAGCGTGTTTAGAGTGTAGAAGGTCCAGCTAGCTTGCAGCTAGGTCCAGCCAGCTGGCAGCTAGGTCCAGCTAGCTGGCTTCTAGGTCCAGCCAGCTGGCAGCTAGGTCCAGCCAGCTGGCAGCTAGGTCAAGCTAGCTGAAAGCTAGAATTTTTAAAGCCGGGTCGCAGATGACCAAATTATACTTAATCAATTTCAAATCCAAGTTTTTACTTTTATTGCAAGTATTTAGAGTTCTAGAATTCAAATTTGGGAACCTTTTTTAATGTAAACACTTTAAATTGAGTGGGTCAACTTTTATATGGAAAATCGGTTAAACCGTACTTGAAGACCAAGCGCGGGTAAACGGCGGGAGTAACTATGAGTCCCCTGGGCAACGCTGGGTTCCCAAGCTAGTTTATCAATAAAATGTTAACAACTTTCTATTTAAGGTTTGATTTCTAGTAAACATTTATACAGCAGAGACATAGAAGGGAAGAGATATTATTAGTTATGTAGAATTAGATTTTACAAAACAAGTAATAAATGTACAGCCTTTTATCCCTTTTAAATCAAGAATTTAGTTGAATTATTTCAAGAGATAAAATAAGAAACAAAATACACCCCTTCAGTAATAATAAAGGGGGAGGGAGTCATGGATGGGTAAATTTTGTCTAAATCTTTTTAAAAATAGGATTGAAAGAATATAGTACGAACTACGAACCCAGAAAAGAAATGAATCGTCCTTGACTGAAAGTATGAAAGTTGATAAATCTGGTTCAATTCTAGCAGGATATCCTTCTCCAGGTTCCCCCGACCTATCCGACCCCTGATCCGAGGACTCCTAGATGATGAAACCATCAGGAGCAGGAATTAGGGTTTTCAACAATCCTTGATTGATATTTGAACAGTCTTGTACATATTGTATTATAGATCAATAAACCTACTCCACCCTGCCTGTGGTTTCATGACAACTCCTGGATACTTATCAGTTTTCTTCCTATTGTCCGAACCCTGAGGATCTCACGCTCCCTGTGCTTTAGTGGGACCTGGAGACAAAACAATCCTGGGAGAGGGAGTCAAGTTTCTCTGCTTTTCTTTCTTTGTCGTTAACCAATTTATTCTTGCTTCTTCACTCAAACTAATTGTTAAACTGTATTTCCAAAGTATTTCTGAGTAACTCTACAAAAGAACACAACAGAATCCCTTTAAACAAGGGGTTTAACTCGACACTTTCTAGTTTTTATCCTCAAAAAAATCATGAAAATATGTTTTCTTATCAAAAAGTCGTTTATTAAGAAATTACACCCCCATCATATGTACTCATATAAAGATTTAAAGGGTTGCAGTACCGAATCATTTGTGTGTCAATGTTAAAACTTTAAAGGAAGTAGAATTTCCCTTTAAACACGTTTTTATGTTTAGAATTGATCGATTCTTCACAATAATGGGATGGCAGAATTAATTTTAAGTGACCTTCCTTTTGAAGTGAATTAAGTGTTGAATTTCGACAGTTTCTGATTTGTCTCTGATGCATAAAAATCCAAAAGAAATCATGATTGGGAATTTTAAAATGATCAATTTTTACATAAAAAAGGTTCAAAAGGTACCATTGTAAATCGGACAAGCCCCTCTTTTCAAATGAAGGTTCACTTGAATTTATGTCGAAATTCCCTCTAATCATTCGCCGATATTCTCCTGGCTATTAATTAGTTATTATTCTGCAATATTTTAAACAAATGATTTTTAAACAAATCTAAACTAATCCATTAAATATACGTTTGTTTGTAGATATATGTCTGTGTGTGAATAAATCTTTATAATAACAATAGTAATTTATTTATCTCCTCTTAACCCTTTATTAGTTTTCTTCAGTTTTATTCTTAATCCTACATTTAATCCTCACATATTTTCTCTAAAACAATCCTTTCACACTTTAATTGTTTTAATCCTTTAACCTTTAAATCGTTCAATCCATTAATCCTTCAACCCTTAAAAAGTAAATAAAACATGTTCAATTTAATAAAAAATATTCTTTTAAATTCAATAAATTAAACATTACGCGATAATTAAAGAGACTGTAAGCGTAATTTCAAGGGACCCTCCATGCAAAGATGGCAATGCCCGATTTTCATCTGTATCCTTAATAGTTTTGTCTGATCAAGTATAAATTAGATTTGTATGTTTTTATTTACTTAAATCGCTTCTTTTCAGTTGTGATTTCTTTACAAAAGTGACTTGCGCATTTCTTGCTTTTAAGAAATAATGAAGAAATTCACAACAAAAAACTTTTCGAGTCAGAAAGCTAAGTGATCTTCCAAATTAATTATTTTGGTTTCAAGGTATCGTTGTAGATCGGACATTGCTACCTTTGCATAGAGAAATACTTTTATTTACGCTTACAGTCCCTTTAATACTGAAAATGAGTGTTCTAACTCTACTGTACCCCCCTCTCCATCCTAGCTATACCCAACCCACCCTCCATTCTTTTCTTTTCCGGTTCACTCTCATGTAAACTCTGTAATCTGGTTTAATTAAGAACTATCTTGATATCATGAGAAACCATCCTAAATCTATCTATCTATCTATCTATCTATCTATATTTCTATCTATCTATCTATCTATCTATCTATCTATCTATCTATCTATCTATCTATCTATCTATCTATCTATCTATCTATCTATCTATCTATCTATCTACCTATCTATCTATCTATCTATCTATCTATCTATCTATCTATCTATCTATCTATCTACCTATCTATCTATCTATCTATCTTTCTATCTATCTATATATCTATTTATCTATCTATCTATCTATCTATCTACGGAGACCGGAAGAAGGACGGAAAAGGACGTGGATACTGAAAATAAAGGAAGCGCTATGTAAACAAAGGAGAAGGTTTCCTAGTCCCTGGGTTCAGGAAACTTCTCCAGGTATAAAACTATACGAAGGGAAGAGTAAGAAGAACCATATTGTAAACACAGAGGTATAAGTTAGAAAAGAATATTAGTCACAGAAATGATTAGAGAAATATTGTATGTTAAAATAAAAAGAAAAAACGTTAGAATTGAAAAAAGAGAAATAAGATAAACTTACTAACACTAACCGAACTAAATTAGAAAGGAAAACGAATAACATGTAAGAATAAGTAAAGAGAGATATCAAAGAGAGAAAGAGAGTGGAGGGGAAGCGAGAGATAGAAAATACAAAATTAGTGAAAAGATATAAAGGAGTGGAGAGATTTAAAAAGTGTGGAGTATAATAGTCCTTCGTATTATATACCTGTCTTCCGGTAATTATAAGCTAGTAAACTAGATAGATAGATAAGCAGGGTAGTTGGATAAATAGCTATATAGATAGATAGGTAGAAAGAAGGAAAAATGGGTAGCTTGCTAAAAAACGAACCAGATACATATAAATGGACGCATATTTAGCTTATAAGATGGATATATATGAAAAAAATGGATAGATATATAGAAAATATATAGATAGATAGATAGATAGAATTGCTTCAGGGTAGAAATACTGCTTCCTGTGTAGTATATGAAGGTATATGGAAAATACAAGCTTGCTCTTTTATATTAGATCCAGAACTATCTTGATGATATTGTTATTAGCCTTCATCTTTTTTATATCAGATTTGCTTTTATTTTTTTTTCACAACTCTGTGAGTTTTGGAGAAAACAATGATCAAGTTCCATAAGTATCGACATTCGACAATAAACTCTGATTAAAATAATTTTTTTCCAGTTCAGGGTTTGATATTAGATAATTATATCCCAAATCAGTATATGAATTTTAATTCCACCGAAGGCTTTCGCATGAGAGCTAAATTCTGAAATTAAGTTGAGAAACAGGAAAATATTGACGTTTTCAATTTCCTTTTTTTCACTTCCGCTTTGGAATATTTGCTTAAGAAACTTTAAGTTAACAGTAGACTATGGAGAACATATGGTGACATGAGGTGAAACCTGAATCCGTCCTCAGACAAAACATAAACAAACATAGTCTGTACGTGAACTAACATCTTGGGATAGATACTTATATCAGAAACATTTTGCTTAAAGGAATTTTCAGCATAATTTTACGTTATTCACACTTTCTAGAGCTAAGGATCATTTTTTACCAGTCGTGGCTTCTTTTTAAATTAGGTATCTTTTGGATGCGTCTAATTCAAGAAGTAATATATACCCAAAAAGGTTTATGAAACGTTAATGGTACATTTTAAGTTGAATGTAACTTAAAATTAGGTCGAAAAAGCACAAACCAAAGATAATATGATTCATCAAAATTAATACGAAAAATCATCAGAACTAAGTTTACACGGTTTACACCGGGACGAAATAAAACGTCAACAGCCTGGTTTTCGGCCAAGTGTAACAATGACTCATATCTGTTCTCTCGTCCCATATTGTTAAACATTCAGGCATAAAATCTAGCGTCAAAACCATGAAATCTGAATCATGTTTCTTTAGAAAACAGTCTGCCAGGTTTGCTCAGTTGACAGGTGCCGGAGCAGGGTTCATCTATTCAACCTTATCCGTACTCAGAGCGAATATAATCCTGTACCCTGAGCTGTACCCCCTTAGATTAGGGATATCACGTAGGAATAATGAACTACATACTCTGCCACGTGTCTCATTATCAAACACAACCCAATTCTTATTTACTGTCTTGTTAATGACGCTACCGTTCCATTCGTGCGTTGCTGTCTCCTCTCAACTCTCCGCGTAAATCCCCTTCTTCCCCCCGGCCCGGCCCGACCCGCCGACACACCGGATGGGCGCCCGGTATCCCACGGTCCGTCAGTTTACTGTTGACGTTCAAGGAGTGCAGACGTGTGTGGAAATGTACCTGAAGATCAAATGATTTCAAAAATTAAAGAAAATGTTGAAGCATTGTCATTCTCGGTCTGGTTTCCCAACCGGCTCTCCAACCTCGATATCAAACAGCCTCTCCTCTTTAGAGTGCTCCCAGAGTTCGGGCTCCGAGGTCAGTTTTGATGCAAGTTTTGGATCATCCTGCACCCAGTCTCCTGTGCCCTCAGATATGTCAAGCCGAGGATCTCTAACCTCAAGTGAACCTCACTCCATGTGCTCCAGTAGTTCCTCTCCTCCCTCCAACTCCAGAGTATCAATCAAAGTGTTTGCGTCCTGTCTCCGACCTGACATTGAATACAAGACCCTATGTGTCAGCCATAACACGAGGTCTAGAGAACTAATCTGGCAACTGCTTGCCAAGTTTAAGATGAAACACCGGGATCCAAAACTATTTTATCTAACCATGGATATAGTGATAAGTAAGGCTGGAGAACCTGTATCCCGAACCCTGGTTCTAGACGAGGATGCTCGACCTGCTGAGCTAGCTCTATGCAACCCCTGGGGGGAGTGTAGGTTCACCCTACAGATGAAGAAGGGTGGACTAGTGAGAATCCATGATAGTGTTCTAATGAACGAATCTCAGTATAAAAGTTTACTGATCAGTGAGGATACAACTGTGGAGGATGTAGTGAGAATACTCCTCCACTGTTACAACCTGGAGAGATTTCAAAACAATAAATTTAGTCTCTATGAACATTGTAAAACACAGAACTATGAGAGAAAACTAAACTACGAGGACCGTCCTCTCTCCGTCCAGGACTCATGGTTGGATCCTTCGCAGTTTCGTCTTGTTCTCAGACGAACTCCAAACCTTGTACCTAGACGAGGGAGCATACATCAACTTGGACTCCCATCCGTCCCTGTCCACTCCCACGCAACCACAGACATGGGAGCCAGGGCCATACAGGCCAACCTGGTGGAGAGGTACAGCAAGTTCTGCCAGAAGTACGAGAGTTATTTCTACGTTTAGAACTCGTGATTTAAAAAGAGTGATGAGTCTCCAAGATGTGACAATGTCAAGGCATTTACTCAATTGTGTTTAAAAGTGCGCAGAGTTAAAGAGAAGAAGGATGACTCCCTTCTTTTACAGTTATTTTACCATTTCTAGATGGTACTGATGCTATCTCTCCAATGTAAGGGTGTATCAGGACCCCGTGGTGGGTTATCAACCCTGAGCTGGTACCTATATTGATATTCTGACAATCTGATTTCAAAGACTTGCAGATTTTGACAATAAGTCCTTGTATTAGTCTGTGGAGAGAAAAATCTCGTTGATGAAACACAGCCCTGAGAGAAACCAAGAAGTTTTCTGGTTCCTGATCAAGTTGAAGCAGGGACCAAGAGCGCTCTTGTATCTTCTGATAAACCTTGTTACATGATTATTCTAGTCTATATTCTCCCAAAGATAATGTTAAAGCTTTAATTTATATAATAAATATGATTACTATTGAATATTTGTCTTGAGTCATTTCATGAATTGCACTGATAGAACTGAACAGTGAACACTTCAGAACATATTATAAATATCATGATCAAGATATCTTATCTTTCAGTTGACAATAGTTTTGTTAGAGCAACACCTCACACTTCAATTCAATTTGAAGAGAGGATTACAGGAGGGGGAGTTGCAGTTTTATATTTAGAGAAGAGGGGGGAGGGGTAGTTGCCATCTTAAATTGAAGGGTGGGGTGTAAGAAAAATTGAGAGGAATGCGTTAGAAATAACTGTTGGAAGGATAAATAAAGATATTGGACGAGATTAAGAAAATTCATAGACACAGATGTCATCCTGGTTTGTTCATATTTGCGGAGAGAAGATCCGAACCAGTTGAACCTGGATATGATCTCAATCTGGTCTATTCTAATCCCTCCCAGCTCTAATCCAACCCAGATCTTGCAGATCCAAACCTATCCTTCCCCGATCTCACCATGCCCTAAAGATTAATAGATTATTAAAAAGTTTTGATATCTGTAAAACTCAAACTGTCTTCAGATAATAAATCAAAGCAAACCTTGCTCCTTGGACCTGAGACCACCTTGGATACATTTATTTAGAGGGATTGTCCTCGAATATATTTCTTTAAAGGGAAAAGGGACAACGTTTGAAAGCGGTTTGTGAGTGTTTGACCAGAGAAATAAAAAGTTTGAGATTTGTGTATTACACAGAGAAAAAGGATTATATCTCTGCCCTCGTTACTCAGAAAACGCCAAAAGATTATTATTTGTATTTTATTGCTTTGAAAAAAAGGTAAGTTTGAAAATATTTTGACAATCTCTTTAACCTAAACCTAATTCTGTCATTGATAAATACTTGAGAGTGATCTTGAGCCTGTTTACGGAATTCATATTTTACAGTTCTAACTTCAACCATTTATCTAATATCAACTTCTGTCACAATAAACGTTATTTTTATGAGAAAAGGAATATTTTATAATTGATATAGAGGCAATATTATTTATTGATAAAACAATTTATCAAGATTCATTAGTTTCCTTTTGTTGGGACGCTGTTGGGGGGGAGGGGGGTAGGGGGGCAGTAAACAGAAACATCAAAACATCTCCATTCAAAGTAGGATCCTGATCATGTACACATTCCAATACTTTTTTCATTCATTGATATTTCATTTACCCATTCATTGATCCTTCATTTTTTATTCATAGAATTCATTCATTCATTAATCCTACATTTATCTATTCCTTGATCACTTGATCATCCCTGTTTTTTTATTCATAGATCTATCTAAATACCCATTGATTGATCCTACATTCTTAGATCATTCATTTACACATTTATTGATCATGCTCTTATCCATTGGTTGATCTCTATTTATAGATATTTTACTTTTAATCTTTATTTCATAAACATAAATTTGAAGCCGGCTGTGTTTAAACATATTGAATTTATAGACTCTATTAATTAGTTCCTAGTTCAGCTAAATAATTATTATCTATTTGATATGAATTGTTATTTATGCTGATAGAATCTGTTAGAATGGACATTATTCAAATATAAATAGATATTTTAAACATTCACAATGTGTTTTTAATCTATAAAAACGATATTAACTACTGAAAATCTAACTAAAAAGTTCTTTGTGTTTTTATAAATTTTTTGTTTTTATATTTGTCTCTGTCCATTAGGTTGCTGTCCGGTGTCTTGTGTCGATGTCATGTTTCAGATACTGTCTCTGTCTCTGTTTCTGTTTCTGTTTCTGTTTCTGTTTCTGTTTTTGTTTCTGCTTCTGTTTCTGGTTCTGTTTCTGTTTCTGTTCCTGTTCCTGTTTCTGTTTCTGTTTCTGTTTCTGTTTTTGTTTCTGTTTCTGTTTCTGTTTCTGTTTCTGTTTCTGTTTCTGTTTCTGTTTTTGTTTCTGGTTCTGTTTTCTGTTTTTGTTTCTGTTTCTGTTTTTGTTTCTGTTTCTGTTTCTGTTTCTGTTTCTGGTTCTGTTCCTGTTTCTGTTTCTGTTTCTGTTTCTGTTTCTGTTCCTGTTTTTGTTTCTGCTTCTGGTTCTATTTCTGTTTCTGGTTTTGTTTTTGTTTTTATTTTTGTTTTTGTTTTTGTTTTTGTTTTTGTTTTTGTTATTGTTTTCGTTTCTGTTTTTGTTTCTGTCTCTTTTCCTTTTTCTGTTTCTGTTTCTGTTTCTATCTCTGTCTTTGTCTATTTTTTATCTCTATATCTCTGTCTCAGTCCTAATGTAAGGTACTGTTGAATACAATACAAGTAGGAAGATGTGTAAAGCCACGTATCTTAAACTAGATTAAAAACTGTCTCAGCTCTTGTTTATATCCTGGGCAACAGACCTGGTTTATAGGCAGTTAGGCAGCCGTCAGGTCTATACATTCATTAGTGATGATGAAGTCTCAGCATAGGAAATAATCAAGCTTTTCTTACCTACTCAACCGTACACAAATCTATTTATCTATCTATCTATTTACGTCGTCATCATCTATCCATCTTGTCTATCCATCTCATCCATCAGGAACTTCGTCAATTTATTCATCCATAAATCTATCTAACCATAATAGATCACAATTCATTTATTAGTCGTTTTAGTTGTGTATATTTTTATCCCATTCATCCAACAACACTTTTATTCACCAATTCACAAGTATATATATAAATATCTATTCATCCATCCGTTTATCAATACATCCACTAAATATCTATTCATCTACCCATTCATTTATCCACCTATCCTTACATATATCAATCTACTCATCTACCCTTGCATCTATTTATCAAATCAACATCTATTCTGTTGTTATTGATGTCTTCTATCCTTTACCTTTAAGCTTCCGCTGACAAGATACAGTCAACTGTTTACTGGAGTTGAGATTTCCTGATGCTAGAGTTGAAATCTCCGGCAAAACATTCAAATCTTCCTTTCATCTACCGGGGGAAAATACTGTCGGATATTAGAACGAAACCTACCCTAAAATATTTAAAAATAATTGTTTTGTTATATTATATTGCCGCGATGCTCGGCCCCCTGGTCTGTCCCAGCCGCGGTGCTTAACCGAGACCCAATATTTTTTAATTAAAATTAACAAAATGTGGGCATATATCCTGTTTGAACTCATAATAAAGAAAGCTTAAAAAATCCATATAATTTCTGCTGTATCCTATAAATACGTAAGGACAGGATGAGAGGGAGGGGGTTAAGGGATGTGAAGGGAGGGGGGGAGGTAGGGATGAGAAGGGAGGGGGGGGGGGGGGTAGTAGAAGAGGTTTGATGAGAACCTAAACAAATGAGTGACAGGAAAGTTGAGATAATCTTCATAACTTGAGATAATCTGAGAACCTGGTGGAGTAAAGGAGTAATTAGTGAGATTATATCAGAGCGGGAGGAAAACACTAGAAATACAGGATTATATTAAGAATTATATTGTAATGATGGGGAGGGGAGGCGTGGGGTGGGCAAGATTATAATCAAGGAAGAATAAGGATGATAAGTATGATGACTGATTACATGGATTCTGAAATTTCAATATTTCAAATATAATTTTCGCTATTTTAACCCTTTCTAGGCTGACAATCTTTCCTTTCCTTTAATCAGCTAACTTTTTATAATTTTAAAACTCTTTTCAGTCAAAAAACCCATGTTTTTTACTAAACATGACGCAGTCCATGGTATTGGCAAGTTAAATTTAAGATTTTCATTTTTTGGGTTAACTTATTATTTAAAAGTGCATGCAAAAAAAGTTCAGGGTAAAAATTGGTCTAGTGAACAAAAAATCGAATGCAAAAATGTGAGTTTGAGAAGAACGGTGAATTGTACGGAGGGGGGGGGGGCGCAGCGTCCCACCCCCTTTATTGTGTCTTTATATGTTTTTGGCATCCTGCATATCAGATAGTAACTGCGCACATTACTATCAGATATTTGGTTTGACCGGTTGTGTGTGTGTGTGTGTGTCAAAGTGTGTGTTTGTTTAGGTTTGTATGTTGACCTTGATATTGATAATGAGACGGATTCATCACTTCTCTCTTCCCTCAGCTCAGGTTGCATCTTCAACACAGGATTAAATTAGTCAGATTATTTTTCATTTATCTTTCTTTTTCTCTTCTAACTGATGATCAATCCTAGAATAGGATTCCTTGACTCAACCAATCCTTCTAACTGATGATCAATCCTAGAATAGGATTCCTTGACCCAACCAACCCTTCTAACTGATGATTATTCCTAGAACAGGATTCCTTGACCCAACCCTTTAAACAGTCCTAGAATTGGATTCCTTAACCCAACCCTTTAAACAATCCTAGAATTGGATTTCTTGACCCAACCCTTTAAACAATCCTAGAATAGGATTTCTTGACCCAACCCTTAAACAATCCTAGAATTGGATTTCTTGACCCAACCCTTAAACAATCCTAGAATTGGATTCCTTGATCCAACTCTTTAAACAATCCTAGAATTGGATTCCTTGATCCAACCCTTTAAACAATCCTAGAATTGGATTCCTTTATCCAACCTTTTAAAGGAAATAAACATTTACGACAAACTTTGATTACATAATCCCCATATCTTTACAACCGATGGTTTAAACTTTTAAATTTCAAACTTGACTAGTTGATTAAACTGAATTAATGTTTTGAAATATTAAGCAAACTGTGAATTTGAAAAAACATATTGATTATAAAGGTAAACATAAATTTCTGGACCGAGTGCCGCGGCTAGGATAAGCTAAGGTTAGAACCGCCGCAGCAACATTAGACAAGTAAAAATATTGCAATCTTATGTATTCTGTATTGGAATGGGGTAATTATTATTTTTTTTTAAATGTTGAAAAAATATTTTATCACGTCTCCACTGTTGGTTTTTTCTTCTTTCTAGATATTAAATTTTTTCTTTTTTCTTTGTGAAGATGAAAGTTTTGCCAAATCTAGTCCAGGTTCCGTTAAATGTAGGGTTAAGACTGTAAGCGTAATGTAAAGATGACAATGCCCGATTCACAACTG